TCGAATTCTTTTTGTTTATTTTTATATATCTTTTATAGGTTTGTAATTTTGTGATTACCATGAGGGTTTTATAAAATATCTTATATTTATAATTGTCCATTTTAAGCTGAAGTCAACTTGAGTTCCAATGCATACTAAAGCTCTCTCCATTTTAACTCTCCTACATCTTCTATACTTTATGTTTTGATGTCCCAATGTGCCTCTTTAATCTTGAATAGTCAGTAAAATATTATTGTGGTTATAGTTATTTTAATACTTTTGTTATATAACCTTTATACTATATTTATAAGAAATTTATCACCAACAAAGATTAGGATATTCTGGAGTTTACTACTGACCTGTGGGTGAGCTGCATGGAAGCCTACAAGCAGGTCCAAAAGGGGCCTATGAAGCTGAGAGGCTTACAGAACTTGGTATGACCAAGAGGAAGAAGATAAAGAGGGATGGGTGAAACTCATGGGAGCCATGAGAACGAGCAAAAAGAACAAGGAGAAGAAGTGGCAAGGCCAGGACAAGCAGACCCCAGCCTAGGCAACCTTCAAAAAGATTCAGGAAAGCGGCGGCAGCCTGAAAGGAGGTTGTGTGCTTGCTTGGTACCTAGATGTGCAGCTACCACTCAGGAAATGCATCCCTTGATCTCCTGACTATGATAGTCACTTGGGGCTTGCATTCATGGTCCCGCAGAATGGAGCAAAAAGCAAACAAAAAACACTTCTCTTTTTTTTAATGTATTTTTAATTGATTTTGGAGAGGAAGGGAGAGGGAGAGAAAGAGATAGAGACATCAACGATGAGAGAGAATCATTGATCATTTGCCTCTGGCACATCCCCCACTGCAACCCTGGCATCTGCCTTGAGCGGGAATTGAACCATGACTTCCTGGTTCATAGGTCAATGCTCAATTACTGAGCCATGCCAGCCAAAAAACAAACAAACAAAAAAAAAAAAACCCAAACACTTAACTGGCTAATGCTCCAGGGCTCAGTATAAAGGTGAGGTAGCAGAGTGAAATATGCATCTCCCAACTTTTCCCTGAAAGAACTTTATTACATGTGTCAAAAAAATTGGTGCCTGAGCACTTGGCTTTCAGTCAGCCTGCATCTAGGTGCTGAGATCCTCCCTTTGGGACACTGACAGATCTTGGCACATCCTCAACTACTGGGAGCCACTAAAAACAAAGAATTCAGCTTGGTCAAGCACAAAGATTTGAGAGACAAGCAAGAGCTAGAGCCAGGTTGAATGATAAGGTTCATCTCCTACAGGAGACCATTTCATCAAGAATAGGAGAGGTAACTAGTTTATCAAATGAACAGAAACAAACACAGAGTCAAGGAAAAAGAAGAAACAAAGAAATATGCTTCAAAGAACAAAATAAAATTCCAGAAACAAGAGTTCAATAACATGAAGATAAGTGATTTACTTAATAAAGAGTTCAAAATAATATCTGCCATGGCAATACCCACTTGACATGAATGAAATGGGGACGTTGGGGAAACAGGCTGCCACCAGCTCAACTCAGAAAGGGGCAAGGCATTCATTCCATCCTTGTCTTAGGTGGCTATTCTCCCTGGCCAGGCGGGCTGAGGAGGCAGTCTCAAAGCCACAAAGCTGCAAGTGGCTTCCCCAGGCCCTGGGTGCAACAGCATAAGCCCCAAGCTTGAGGGGCTGGAAAGGACAGCACATAGAGGACCCCAGAGGGTCTGCATGTAGCAGCTCCCCCTCTGGAAGCAGTTTATTCAGGCAGAGACAGCTGGCTGGCTGTCAGCATGATTTAGAGGCAACATGGGTGTAAAATTATTTTCATGGAACTTACACAGAAATCACCTTAATCTATGGTTAAACTCTCAATAGTTTCCAGTCCAAACTAAAAAGCTTCATCTTCAATGTGCTACTGAGAAACTAAAATAGAGTAAAAGGATAGTCTTTAATCAAGTTCCAGAATGAGGGCACGCTGCTTTGAAAAGCACTGTCTCAGAAGAAGACACAAGGGTGTGTGTAAAGAATGTTTCTAGAAAATACCACAGGCACCAAACATAACCCCAAGCTGGCCTTCTAGTTCCCCTCGGTGCCAACTCATACTCTGGGTGGGAAGGCTACTTCGCCCAGCTGACTTTGGGAATGCCACAGTGCTCAGCGAGGATATCCAAGTGTCTGTTGAAGTCCTCCACTCTGCTTGTGGGTTTTGGAGGCTTTCTTCAAGATCCTTTCCAGTGACTTGCAACAGAGCAGAGGGAGTACACAAAGATGACGCTTGTCATTCTCTCCAGTCTCCAAAGGGGATTTCATTTGGCCCATAGATGTGTGTTAAATTAGAAACCTGACACTCAGGCTATAGATTTTTATATATGCAGCTAGCACTTTTTTCAAGGAAAGACTAGGACATGGTCTTGGTTTTTTTTTGTTTGTTTGTTTGTTTGGTTGTTTTGTTTTTTTGGGTTTTTTTTTGCCTGCAACCTCTGCACTGAACCTTAGCCACAGCGAGTCCTCCCAAGATGTTTAAGAACTGTTTTTTGTTTGTTTGTTTGTTTGTTTGTTTGCTATAGCGTTTTGGGTCTTGTGGACACAAGCCCCAATGGCTTTCAGTGCTAGGTATTTTGGGCTTTTATTCCTCAAACATAAATCTTAAAAGTTAGGACACTAGATGGTGTATCCAAACACTTCTCTCCTCAGAGAAAAGCTAAGAGTTATGAGCTCCTACCTCATTGTAGGTCCCTGGGATGCAGTGGGTTTTAGGGCCAGAGTATGTCTCAGACTTTCTTATCATTTTTATGTGTGTGTGTGTCGGGGGGGGGGGTGGTGTTTTTGTTTTTGTTTTGTTTTTCCTTTAGCCTAGGAATCACTCAGCTAGTTTCTGGAGTTTTTCAGAGGAATTATTTTATGTGTAGCTGTAGACTTGGAATGTTCATGGGAGGAGCTAAATTACGAGTCTCCTATGTCATCATCTTAGACTGGAACCCAGTAAGGCTTGTACTCAATGTTTTTAGCACAGGTTTAATGACCCCACTACCTGACTCTAGCCTTGTCAAGATAATGAAATGAGATATTTGGGTATAAAGCACTTAAAAAATGGTGGGGCCTTGCATAAATATAGAAGAAGGTTGTCTGGCATGACTGAAAAAGGTTAAATTCCGAAGCGGGTGAGACGTGTATGCATATGTCTCATCTCCTCTCACTTCATGGCAAGGCACACATAGATATATCCCTCTTGTTTACGCAGCTGCAAATAAAGCCGATTTAGTCTAAGCAGTCTACCATGGGCCAGGTGACTTAGAAATCCCAAAATTTGTTGCCAGGTTCTTTCTGAAAGGAAAAAAAAAACAAGGTGACTGGCTTATATTCCAGTTGTTTGAGCTGCCAAATGACTCTTACGAAACCAAAACAAAACAACTCCAGCAGCACACAGAGAAGTTGCCTTTCTCCTCCCTCCCCATTCTTTCATTTTAATCTTTTGTGTGGTTTCCAGATTCCAAAAGTGTAAATAAAATATGTATGTTCTGTAGTTTCAATTATCCAGTGCAAATTGGAAAAAGAAATGATAGTGCTTCTTAATCTTCTTTAAAATTTTCTTTTTGCAAATAATTTATTTCCAAATATCAGTGTCCTTGCATGAGTTGGATGGGGTGTGATGGAACAGAAGCAGGATTCATATCAATCTATTGCAGACAGCCTAATCAGAATAGGCACTTTCCCAGGATTTTTGTGATCACTAAGCTGGTGATAAAACTCTGAAAAGATACCTTAGGCATTGGGGAAGAAGTGCTTGCTACATTTGGGAGAAACATATCTCAAAGAAATAAAGGGATGTTAAAGTTTCTTTTTCCTTCTTTACTTCTAAGAAATATGTTTCTCCAAGCATATAGAATATCAAATTGAATTGTATTTTTATCATGATATAAATTGTGTAAACAATTGAGAAATATAACTTCGAAATGTCAAATGGAATCTGACCATTGTTGAATATGTGGATTTTAATATTTAACATCATATTTTTCTTATATGTTATATCTCTTATGTGTTTTGTACTGTTTCAATTTAGTGTACCAATTTCCCTTCTGTGGTTTTACAAAACAGTATTTTCACTGACTAACAACATTTCATAGTTTATTAATAACATTAACTCAGCCACATTTTACTGTATGCCAGCTTTAGGTCTATAAAACAATGTGGGACATTTATATAGACCCAGTAAATACTCAATATCAGTTGAGAGAAAGAGGGAGAGTAACAATAGCATTTGCCACCCATCTGAAGTTTCTTTGAGATGTATGTGAATGCATATGACTTCTTCAGTCTATTAAGAGATGCTAGTTCAGCTATAGTGAATATATTGGCTTTCAAAAACAGTTTTGGAGTCTTGTGATGGGGAATACACATGTATAAAAACTCCAAGTATGAGTTTTGGGGATGCCATTTAGAATTTTATATTTTAAAATTTAATTTAAACATTGATCTTGAAGTGGTATAAACATTATTAGTTTTGATAAATTTTAGAAAACTAATTAGGGACATAGTAAAGCATAAAAGAAAAGAATACCTAAGATTTTAAAGGCATTTTTTGATTGAATTATATTTTAAATGAAATCAATTCATCATTAATTTTATCTGAAGTATTACTTAGTTCAATGACCAGATATTGATTTCCAGTCCCTCTCTAGTTTATTATGTGACATTCTGAACTGTCTTATAAGGGATTGTTTAAAAGTTTAAATATTACAACCCAAAGTACGAAAACACCTTTTAATATTTAGCTCCAAAAAAAGAGAAACAAATTTATATTTCCTTATACTAGCCCAAGACATGAAATAGATACTGGGATTTCTTTTTTCTTTATAGAAAAATAAAATAAAAAGAGGTGTAAAAGGGGAAAAAAAAGATTGTGTAAAAGTATATTTTATCTCCTGTGTTTGTGCTACTATAAATGTATAAGAGTGTATAGAATAATTAAAAACAAACAAACAAAAACCCTTAATATGAATACTAGCATTTTTTTTTCTCTTTCAGCTCTCAGGAGAAGTGATTTTACAGATTGCCAACGAACCAGTTCTGCCCTTTAATGCTCTTGACATAGCTTTGGAAGTTCAAAATAGCCTTAAAGGTAATTTTTCTTTAAATTATAGTAATTTTAGAAAATGAAAAACTGTTCAACTAATTTTCAACTAGAAATGGATAAAATTATGTAGTATACTAACTATGGTCATGCAGAGCCTCCCTTCCTATAGAGGATTATCATGGGAAAGGATGAAGAATTTTGGCTGCCATGTCAACAGGAATGAGGTATATTTATGAATAAGTGTAAGGCAACATGTAAATTTTACCATGTTCTATTACCATCTTTTATCCAAATGACTTATAGTTTCAAGCCCTAGTTATTATTTATAGCTTCCATATGGAAAAGTATAGTTTAGGGATTTTTTTTTAAAACATTGTACCTAACATTTAGTCAGTTCTAGTACGACTGGCCCAGAAGTTTCTCCTTGGGAATTGGTTTCTATAAGATATGGGCTCCATCCCATTTGGCTCATCCTAGATTAAGGATAAGAAGAAGATAATTTCCATAGTCTCCACTGCAATTCTTTCACATTCAAATATAGCTCTTTCTACAGAATCTGACACTACCCTAATAATTACCTTCATTTTACTTTATCTACATACTAGAGGCCCTGTGCATGAATTTGTGCACAGGTGGGGTCCGGTTGGCCCGGCCCCAATCAGGGTGGATCAGGGCAGGCCTATCAGGAGGAGGAGATGGTGGGAGGTTGGCCTGCTGGCCCATTCTGATTGAGGCTGATTGGGTCTGGGCCAGCTGGGGGGAGGGGCCTACAGCGATTGGTGGGCAGGCCCCACCCCTGATTGAGGTGGGGAGCCCTTTGGGGATGGGGTGGTCGTGGGGAGGGGCTGTGGGCAGTTGGCTGGTCGGCCCTGCCCCCAAATGGGGTGGAGGGGGCCAATTGTGGGTCAGTGGCCAGGAGAGTGGTCGTGGAAGGTTAGCCGGCCAGCCCCACCCACGATTGGTGTGGCTGGGGCTGATTGGTGGTGAAGCTGGCTGAGGGGAGGGGCCATGGGCCAAATGGGGTGGTGGGGGCCGATCTTGGGTGGGGTCGGGTGGGAGGAGGGGCTGCAGGATGTTAGCTGGCTGGCCCTGCTCCCTATTGGTGTAAGGAGGAATAATCAGGGGCAGGGCTGGATGGGGAAAGGGGCTGCAGGCTTATTGGGGTGGTGTGGGCTCACTGGGGGTGGGGCCAGCTGTAGGGAGGGGTATAGGGGTGGGGTAAATCAGGGGCGGGGCTGGCCAGGAGGAGTGTCTGCAGGCGGATCCGGGTGGTGGGGGCCCATTGGGAGTAGGGCTGGCCTGAGGAGGTGCTGCAGGTGGTTGGCCAGTGCCGCCCCCCCCCCCCCCCCCCCCCCCCGCCAATCATGCTGGTTTCTTGGCCACAGTGGGCATGCAACCAGTCATTCTGGTCATTACAGAGTTCTGGTCGTTGACTTTTTATATATATAGATAAACCTTTAAATCAGGGTTAATATTATCTTTATTAACCAAATACTGAGGTTAGTATTGTCATTAAAGAAGGAACCCTCTTTCTCTTTGAGTCATACATTTTATTATCTGATCTTTAATGAGTCATTTGTAGACATGTGCTTCTCAATACCCAAACTGATATTCTAACTCTAGGAAACCTTGAAAGTAGATCATTCTAAAGAGCCAAATATTTTCAGTATCTCAAAATGTAATACCTTTTTTTTGATAACCTGGCTTGTTTCATAACTGAGAAAATACTACAATCCTACCCACTCCCCCATTATTCTTATGACTTTTATTACAGTGGCTGTAAAACTATGACCTGAGGAACAACTGAGCAGTTGTGTACAGTGGTTTGCTTCCATACTAAATGGCCTCATTGCTCTGCTTTGGACTATTTCTCAGTCTCTATATAGTTGTCTTTTTGCTGTTAGTGTGACTCCTGTAACAGTCAGCCTGCCCTCAATTTCTAATTCACTATTTTAAGAATATTTTGGCTTATACACTGACTTACCAAGTATATGGCATTTTGCAAATTAATAACAAAACTTGTATAAATAAAGGACAAAATGTTCTATGAATATTAGTAGTACCATTTCTGCAACAATGTATTTTAAGCATATATTTAACTTGTACTGTAGACTCTACTAATTTTTAGACTTAAGAAAATATAGTTGATACTATGTATAATAATTAAAAATTTTAGAGAACAAAAGATTATTTGTGTAACATAAAGATTTTCATCTGTAAAGGAACAACTGTCATTCATAGAAGGAACTGCAAAAGGTATACTGTGACCCAAAGAAATTATATGCATAATAGTGGCCCAGTGTACAGATTTGTGCACATTGAAAGAAAATTAATTAGAAGAAATATTTTAAAATTGTTATTTGCCCTTTCTCTACAATAAGAAGTGTCAACCAAATTCATGATCAACAATGATGGATTGAAACACATGCGTGCAATTGGTGCCAGCAAGAGCTTTATATGTATCATGCACGTGCAAGTCAACTTAGCCTTTTATATATATAGAATAAACTTGCTTAATTAGACCTGCTTTCTGATGTAGCTAAACTTTTTCCAGCCCAGTGAAGCACCTCAACTTCTCTTTCAGGTAATTGTCAGCAACACAGCAGTAAATATCAACATGAAACAGATTATTATTGTAGATCATGCAGGGAGAAAACAGGGTAAAATATTTAACTGCAGCAGTGTTTGACCATATTCTGTGCAGTGAGAAAGCCTGAAGTCATTTTCAAGGTTCACCATTTCTTCTTTTCAGTTGAAACAAGTTTCTATACATTCTAAATCTCCATTTTCCACCTAATGAAAAAAAAAAAAATAGGATTCTACCGAGTCTCCTATCTAACTACTCCAGGACTTCTGTGAGGATCAAATGAGATGAGGCACCCGAAAAAGCTTCACAGACATTTACAAAGTGTAAAATGTTTCCACCTGGCTATAAAGCAAGTGTGTTCCTGGGCTAAAGAAACTGCAAGGAGGCTAGTTGCTAGGGATAGGAAATCAGGCATTGCTACATGATGTCATTACCTGGTGCCCACAGTGACCGTTTCTGGGCTGGGCTGGGCTGTGGGCCGCATTTTGCACCAGGGGATCTCAGCAGCATTGGCTGCAATTTGGTGGAGTGTTGCTCTGGGGTGGTGATGGTGCCTGTGTCCCCCTTGGGGGAAGCCAAGTGTTGCTTTGTTGGCGCCAGGTCCATGGTGCTATTACTTTTTAAATGGCCAGTGCATGTCATGGCAGCTCCTGTGTTGAGTGTCTGTCCCCTGGTGGTCAGTGTGTATCATAGCATCCGATCAGACGTTTGGATGGACACTTAGCATATTAGCTTTTTATATATAGATATTCATAACTCATGGACATGGACAATACTATGGTGAAGGTCTGGGGGGGGGATAGGAGCAGGTTGGAGAGGGGGTAAATGAGAAAAAAAGGGCTACATCTATAATACTTTAACGATAAAGATACATTTTTAAAAATTTTTAAAAATATTCTGTGCAATACTGGTATCACATGATAGAGTTATAAATGATTTACAAATTGATTTTCTAAGAAAAATATTTGATGATAAACGTATATTGCATTTGTAATAAAGACACAAAGAGTTTTATTTTAATTCAAATAAATAAAATCAGTAAAATCCTAAAAGTATTATCATTATTGTAATTTTAAATTTTAAGCTCTATTATATTTTGAACAATTGAGTTTATTTTTAAAAATCCATAAGGAAACACAATATTTTAATATATTAGCATTATAATTAATATATGAGCATTTCAAATAACATAGGTTACTTCTGAAAGTCAAATAATATCCTAATGACTCATTGTTAGAATTATATTATTACTTTTGTTTTTTAAAGTAGTTAACGATCCCTTTCAAAATCTAAAAAAAAAATATGTTTTCTCTACCCCCAAAATTTCACATATACAAAAAGTCTGCTACAAAGATTTCACTGCAGGCCAGATACCACTAAGTCTATGTGAACCTCTCCCTCAAACCCAGGGTTGTCAGTGTATGAGCCAGGAGCATTTTGTCTCCTTGCTGTTATAGTGGACTGCTTCAGCTTTGGTGGAGAATTTTTTCTTGATTGTTGGTTATTTTTGAGTTTTGTTTTCTTTTTATGTGAAAATCCTTGGGTCTCACTGTCACTTTCACTCAGAAACATGCAGCCAGACTTGAAATGTACCTGATATTAGAAATAAAAACAAGGCAAAGCAAAACAAAATGTAAAAAAAAAAAAATAGGAAAAACATTTTTTTAACATGACCTGGGTATAAATATTTGATCACAGGGAAATGACAGGTCACATTTAATCCATGCATTTTTGTATTTTAGTAATCATGATTCAAACTTATTTGCTCTGTGATATAGTCAAAATGTTATTCATATGTTTGCTAAATTGTACGCAACTTGATGTACCTGGTTTATTTTGACAACTTTGGTTATAACCTTATTTCTAAAAGATAATAATTGAATATAATAATTGGTGAATAATGGACATCACTTAACAACAACTAAATTAATCTTTCCGTTTTAATTTTGGCTGTAATGCTAGATGATTTCATTAGCTAAACAGAATTCCTGTAGCCAAATGAAACATATAATTTTACTGCTAATACAAGCTTAAATTGTTGATATGTTTTTTATTTTGTTATGACAGTTAACAGTGATTAGTCTTCAGTTCTCAATTATAGTGTTTTTTTGAAAAGTGACCTTTAGGTCTGAGCTATAAAAGGCTATGACTCCTTTCCACAAAGAGTTTAAATATGAAGGTCTCTGAAACCCAATTGCATTTTCAACAGTGTAATTTTTACCCCTTGACAACCAGCCATCTTGTTTATTTATTATACTGGTTTATGGTAGCAGCAGACCATTCTCTTTCGTTCTCACAACCACTGGAAAGAAGGGTAATTTTCCAGTGAATAATTGTTTGAGTTGATTTATTGGATGGTACTTTGAAGCTTCTTTTGACTGAGTGACCTTGGCTCTTAATATGTAGTTAATGCTAAATGCATAATAGTTAGAGAATGAATATGTATATGTAGTGCATG